CTAAATGGAAATTCTGTCCGAACAGAGGCTGGAGAAACTTACTTCATGTAGTTCTTTGTAGTTCCGCCTTGCTTTCTTTATTTTAATATCTCTCTGTGTCTTTCACACTATCTGTTTTTTAAGACATAATACAAAACTTTATTGTTCATTCACATGGACATTTTTTGCATAAAAAAAATCAACCGAATAACATTAAAAAACAAACGTTTGTTTTTCACTTTCTCTGCCATTTAATGAAACAAATATTCATATTAAATAAAGTTACAATTGAATGTATTAATAACAGAGCTTCGACTGAATATTCTTTATTCAATAAACTGATTAATATTTAAGACTACCTTATGACAGAAACATATTTTTGTGGAGCTCATGGTGACGTCTTCAATTTGTTGCTTTGTCCAAACAAACATCTTAAATCAGACAATATTAGGTTTTCAGCTTTATAAAAATGTCCTGGATTGAATAACTTGTAAATCTATAGACTTAACATTTCACTTCTAATTTAGGACTTAATGTAAATGAAGTACATTAGGTCATTTGCATAGAATATTAAACTTTTGCAGGATAATTAATTGCAACCTTTGTCTATTCTTCTATTTTTAAAATGATTCAAAGTATAGAATTCACTTCTTCATAGTCTTCTTTGTCAGGTTTCTGAGCTCGCCAGTCCGCCTGCTCGACCGTCTGATGAGTCTTATGACTTAGTTATGATCATCGCTCATCACTTAGGACAGACTCCTTGGCTAACACAAGGGCAGGAGAGACAGATGAGGAGGGTCCAGTACTGTGTGCAGAATGACATTAAAGCATCCATATAGTATATAGTTTGAAATCTGTGCACGACTTGCCTGTGTGATTTGAATACATGGTACATTTTATAGAGTTGAGATTGCAGCCATGAATCAAAGAGAAGGAATGAACTTGTCTTGAGGGGGGTCGCAAGAGGTTGCCAAAGATGGTGAAAATAATGGAGGTGTGTGTAAAAAGCAAATTCATGAACTGATCATGAGTTGTAGTACTTTTAACTTGTTGGAGCGTCTTAAAATAATTGTATTAATTACATTGGAAGGACCCATTATACCACAGCTGACATCTCATGCCTTTATTATGAATTAGTGAAAGAACCATTTATCCTTGGGCTGCTGCCTGCGCTCAAGAGGAAGATTATTTATTTACTAGAGAGTATCTCACTGAGCCAATGTCAGGAAAGGCAACCACACCAACATTATATCTTGTTATATTGTATTGAGCCAAAGCAATTAATCAATTAGCAAATGGACTGAAAAAGAACACTTTAATTTCTGCTTTTCTATGTTTTATATATTTTTGAAATGTTTACTTTGGCCAAAACAAGCTATGTCACCTTTGACATCAGGAAATTGTGACGTCCATTTCTTTAACTGTTTATTTATTTAATACACAAAATAATTTGTTCAATATAAAAAATGGTCATAAAAAAATCATTGTTTTTTTTTATATCTGAAGAAATGAATACGCTTTTATGAAACATTAGATCAGATTAGATTTATTGTCCCCAGGGGGAAATTCTTTTTCACGGCACCGTACACAAGTCTTTAAAGACAATGATAGGACCAACTATTTGAGGAGTGATGTGATTATTGAAACCATCACTCCTTCACTAACTTCAAGTGTTGAGAAGTTCTGATTCAGCCCAGCAGGGGACAGATTGATCACGTTCCTCTCATGTAATGAAGAGCAGCATGTTGCAGTGAAGAAACGCATCACTGCCCATCAGACGGACTCTCAGCTGAAGTCAGTTTGATAATCACCAGCTGCTGGATAATTCTGCTTTAAGTTGAAGTCAATTTAAAGTTCCATTTGATGAGCTGCATGTGGCCAAAGAGTGCTTCATAAAAAGGTCGCAGGATGACTCCTCTCAAAAGCCAAAATGTGTCCAACTGTTTTCTGTCGGATCAAAGTCACCTTCAGCGTGACTTCTACTCGCTCAGTAATTGTTAAAGGCGGCGGTAAAATTCTGATGAAGTCGGAAATGCAAACACAGAGCTGCATACTGATGTGTTGGTAATCGTGCTGCAGTTTGATGTTGGAGGGAAAACTGTGGTATGAAAGACGGACGTAGAAACTGTTCAAATATCTTCTCACAACCTCAGCAAAACGAGTCTGTTTACCATGGGATGTTAGACATTTTGTAGTTCAGCCAGGGAGAGTGCAGCCAATGCAGACTCTGTACATATGAAGCTGCTGAGAGGTGAATGGCAGTAATTACACTGTGGCCTTAAGTCACCTGGGAGCAGAATGGCAGCTCAGACGTATAATATGTCTGTGTGTGTGCGTGTGTGTGAGAGAGACACAGAGAGAGTGTGTGCCTGAGATCAGAAGGATTCCTCTGGAGTCACTGCAGTCTGAAACTCAGCCACCTCTCCACCCGCCAACAACATTTTCTCTGCCACGCTCTGTACACACCACTGCCCGTGTGATATCGGCCTGAGAAGCAAGCGTTAGTGTCTGAAGGAGAAAGCGTGGGCGAAAAAGACAAGTAGCCTACAGTAGAAAAAGTGGCTCACTCACCCAGTTGTTGTTGTTTGGCTACAAGTGAAAATATCTTCTGTACAGATGAGAAGTTTTCTTACTGAGAAAAAATAACGAAAATAAATAAAAAAACAAACGTTGAGTCATACTGAAATCAATAAATTGCACCAAAGAAAAGTATAGCAGTATAGTCGACTGTCGTCCTGCTTCATCTCTCAAACAAACATTTCATGCCTGACAGAAAATGTGATTTTGAGGCCGTAAATATCAAGTAAACGTGTTATACCAAATTTGCTGATCAACATAAATATTTGTATAATATTACAATGAAACAGTTGTGATAAAGTTGTAATGGAAATTGTCTCAAGAAATTCATGTTATTCTGAATAACTATAGATAAAAAACGAACATGTTTATATCGATACATCAAAATGTAAGTATGAACCACAATCTCCCTCTTTGTGAGTCATGTTGTTTTGTTTAATCAGGTAAGTTGCTTTTTGGAGGAACCAGTACAACTGATCAGATCAAATCCTCACAGATAATGTTTACTGTCACAAGTTAAATAGTTTAGTTAAACTTTCCCTTAGTATGAATTTAGTATTTCTCTCTGTTGCCATGTCAACACAGCATCAAAGTGTGTCTCAGAGTGTGTTCAGCATTCAGCCTCAGAGCCTGTGAGAGATCTAATCAGCCGAGTGATCGAATCAAAGAGCAGGTCCACTTTACCGGCCTGATTTCCTCCCTCTGATAGCAGCGGGCCAGAGGAATTTAGGTCAAGGTTTGCTCTGATAAGATCGTCTTGTCTTTAATGCTGCAGACACTCCTGCAGACCTTCACTCTTAGCTCTCACGCGCCTGGTCACGAATCAGACACTGGAGATAAACTCTGAACAGCAGACCTCTCCAAAGGGCACACAGTGTGAGATCCACCTCCGAGCAACAACTCTGAGCTCTGCAGTTTCACGCTTTAATAAATCAACTTTGTGGGAAAGAGCTGGATGTTCATATACAACCATAAATATCACGGAGCAGCTTTACTTGCGTTGCCTAAATGTATGTTTTTAAATCTGTGTTAGCAATGTTAGTATATTGTTGTTATTATTATGCTATTAACCCTAAAAGGGCATACAGTGTGAGATCCACCACTGAGCAACAACTGAGTATTTGTATACTGTTAACACACATTTAGTTAATCAATCCTCAGCATAAGCCCTGTAATAAATCTTACTTTTATAAATCTTCCAATCTGTGCCCAGGGGATCAGCCCCTTCCTACATCCAGGCCTTGCTTAGACCATACTCTCCAGCATGTGCACTTCGCTCAGCGTCAGCTAATCGGCTTGCTGCTCCTTCTCTGCGAATGGGACCCAGGTACCCCTGTTTGCTATCCTGGCCCCTGAATGGTGGAATGAGCTCCACATTGACATCAGGACAGCAGGAACTCTGCATATCTTCCATCGCAAACTGCAAACACATCTGTTTCAATTGTACCTTGGGAATACAATTCTTTGGCGAACATAAAGAAAAATTTGAAAGAGTTAACTTATGACTTGTAACTAATTCACCAGCACTTACTATGGTATGACTTGCTGAAGTGAATATATCAGCACTTTCCTTCTTGTTCTGAGTTTTAATCTCTATTGTTTTTGCTCATATTGTAAGCCTCTTTGGATAAAAGCATCAGCCAAATGAAATGTAATGTAATAAATCATTTTTAATCTCACTTCTACAATTAACACATTTTTCTCTAGCTGTCAGGAGCTCCTTTATTTTATTTGTGCCATCAGCAAAAAAACAACCCAGGCAGTCTAACTTTTATTATTCATGAGCATTGTTTGTTCTCATTTTGTTGTCTTTTATCGACTGTCACAAACCTGTTCTGCAGTGGATCGACCTTCCCATATTTCAATCTCTAATCAATGTCTTTATATCATTGGACCAGACTTTAGCCACTATGTGTTTTATGTTGTTCAAACCAGCTTCTAGCAGCGTTAGACTTTAAACACTCTGATTTTGTTCAGCCACCTGTCGCCTCATCACATTACCCTCCACTAACTGTGTTTTCTTCTTCTTCCCTCTGTCCTCAGTACTTCGTCCTGCTGCTGTGTATCTTCCTGTTGGAGATCCTGGCTGGCGTCCTGGCTTATATCTACTACCAGCAGGTAATCCCCTTGACGATCAAAAAAGTCCTTTCCAATATATTTTACAAGGCACCTGGGGATTTGATCTGTTTGTTAGGTTGTATGTGTGCAAGGATGGAACAGCAGCTGACAGATATGGGAAGATTAGATATAAAAAAAGTCATTTTATTTTGGACACAGATGTTAGGATATATTTTAAGTCACAATACAGTCTTCGCTGAGTTGTGTTTGTTTCGTTACTTCTTTTGACTTCTGATATTTGTTTAACCTCTTGGGTGGACGCCCGCCTGTTCTCATAGTAAATGATCACATGTCTATGTGTGTGTAAAAGCTGTGAAGTACTTTACTGAGAAAATCAATAGAGCATGCTTGACACTTGTTACGTGCCTTTTTATCTGAGCATGTAGTCAGAAGAGTTCAAATACGACTGTTTATAGTCCCACATGGCCTTTGCTGTGATTTTAACCACCGCAAAACCAACATGATAAATCAGTGTGGGGATTTATAACAACAAATATCATACTAAACTATTTTATTTTGGGAACATCTTGTCCTAACTTTATTAAAAATGTTCTCTAGGAATACTGTGTCAGAATGATTTGGATGCTTTTTATTAGTGTTTGGATTGAATTACAATCAAATGGAACCGTTACATCCCAAAAACAAACTAATTTTAAACTCTACTCACACAGGTTTAACACTGCATAGAGTACTAAACACTACAAAATGCACATATGTGATAACTGTCTCTTCTCATGTGCTGTAGTTGACTAAATCCGACAGCGTGTGAGTTATGACTGACTGCAGGGCAGGTAGTTGCAAATGAGAAGTTTTTTTTTCTCGTGTAATATTAATCTGACACGGCTCTGCAGCAGCGTCACCACCTCCTCGACTTGTCTTTAAGGCCCGTGGCTTGTAGCTCAGCAACAGGACTTTTCTCAGTCTAGAGGTGCACTGCCTTCATTGTAACATCCTCATTCATAATACACAACTCTCCTAAACACGAGCAGTCTCTCAGTAGCTCTCTGTTCTTTCCTAAAGGTCCTTTACCAGCTTCAAAAGATTGTTACTGTGTTACTAAATGCTTTAAAGCCACTCTCTTTCCTCCCTCTACTCTTCCTCCCTTGTTAACTGTTCCTGATTTCTTAATTTGTCGTGAAAACGTAACAATTGCTTTTAATTGCGAGATGCCAAACACACTTATTGAAGCTGCAGGTTCTCCACACTCGTCACCTAGAGTAAAGGGAAGCGACAGCAGCATCAGTTTGCAAACGTCAACACATTTCCTTCCTTTAGGAATAGAAAGTAATAGCTGCTGAACTTCATCACTTGAAGGCAATCACAGCTACATCTGCAATTACATCTATTTTATGAAGCTGTTCTTCATGTGTAACATTTGTTTTCTTTAAAACTGCTTCTATCTTTGTACAGTATGGCCTGAGATCAACTTAATCACACACTTGATTTACAGAGTTAAGCCAATTGTGTGTGTAGAAAAATGCTTGTCTTATAGTACAGTTCTGGTGACCTGAAACGCATGTAAAAATATTTTAAAAGTAATATAAACATTTGTACGTTTAAAAAAGGAAGGCGGTCAAATAGCAGCCATATAGAAGATACATAGCAGCTGTAGAAGTCAAATCAGCAGATGCTGGGCCGCTGTATAGCTCAGTTTGTTTGGACCATTTGCCGAGTTTCATCCCCTCTGTCTCCCCCCTTCAACACTTGCACTCGAATAATGGCACTGGTAGCCCAGAAATATCTTTTCTTTTTTTAAACACAGCAGATGCTATTATTTTCCTTACCTGTAGGTGTTGCACAATGTTGCTGTTACTTTGTTGAGACTCCCAGGCCAGCTGCAGTGTTGGGGCGATGGCTCCTAATTAGATGCTTAAACTCAGGTTAGCATGTATTTATGGTTAATGCCACATAAAGCTGTTCTCTCACACTCTGGCTGTTTCTTCTTACCGAGCCATTTCATACTGCCGCAGTGTCTCCCAGAATATCAACAGGTGAAATTAAATGCTCCCCTCGTCCTCTACCTTCCTCTTTGTCTTCACCTCCCGTCTCTCATCTCTCTCCGCCCTCCCCTCCTCCCTTCATCATTAATTCCCTTGATATCTCCTTCATGCTTTGATTTACAGTGGTTTCCCAGCTGGCTTGTTGCCATAGAAACTGAGCCCCCCAGACCTCCCGCTCCTGGAGTGTCTGCCGCTGGTCTCGAGAACAAAAAAAGAAACATACAGACTTTCTATGCCTTTACTCTCCTCTGCTCCTGTGTTGTTAACCTGCTGTCCATGACGTGTATCGTCAGGAGGTGCTATACATCTCCTCAGTCAACAATTACAACTCATTTCATCACTTGGTCATGCTCCATGCTGGCCTAGGATTTCTGTGTTGCTATGTCATTGGCTGTTAGTGAATATAGTGTGTGTGTGTGTGTGTGTGTGTGTGTGTGTGTGTGTGTGTGTGTGTGTGTGTGTGTGTGTGTGTGTGTGTGTGTGTGTGTGTGTGTGTGTGTGTGTGTGTCAGCTGAATCAGGAGCTGAAGCAGAACCTGAGGGAGACCATGACCCAGAAGTATCAGCAGAGCACCCACGAGCACATCACCAGTGCGGTGGACAAGCTGCAGGAGGAGGTAAGAGTCTAAATACCAGGATGTAGAGTGGCGTGGATACAACTAACAATATAACAAGGTGGAGGTTCAGGCTGATGCCAACAATGATTTGCATTATCATTTAGTCTTTTAATGGTTTGGTCTATAAAATATCAGAATTAGTGAAAATGTCCATCCAAGTTTCTCAAATCTTCAAATTTCTCGTTTTCTCAGTCCAGATTTAAAATAGGACATTTCCCAACAGACGAAGCAGGAAGTCTCCTTATTGGAGGGCTGGAAACTACATTTTTTGCAATTTTACTATGAATGTGTCATAGCGTCTGTAGCTGAGGTACATTGAATTGTATTTTTAACATAAGCTCTTAAATGATAACCGATTGTAAAGAGTGCTGTTTTTTTCTGGCCCAAAATACATTGGTCACCGTCATTATTTTTAGCGAACAGCTTACGTGTGAGATTCTCATTGACTCTCTTGAGGCCTGTTGATTGGTTTTGGTACCCTATCATCCCATCAGATTAGAGATTTCGGTGATGAAGACGAGTCAAAAACAAATCCGATTCCAGTCCCTCAGTCTCCAGCTAAGCATGATGGACTTGTCTTCATCCTGTTTTGTAATTCACCCTCTCTATGCTTATACAAGACGACAGCACATGAAGGAACGGATAAATTTGAGCAGCAGTCGAGACTTCAGTTAGGTTCATGTATTATTCTCAGTTTTAAATTATGAGCTGCCCCGGGCTGTTAGACGTCAAGGAAGTTTACTACTCCAACTCCAATAAATTAGGGGTGAGGGAAAGATAGACTACTGTAAGAATCCAGATTCATTTTCTGTCATTCCTAATCCATTCACAACTTCCCAAAAAATATTTGTAACCCTTAGATGCTTAAGTGGGTCTTTTTTGACCCAGTGAGGTGGTTTTCTTAGAGTATCTTTCTAATTACATTATTTTATCATTTCATATTCCAGCTATTCCTCAAAATACATGTTTTGGATATCATGCCATTCAAATTTTTTATTTACATTTTAAGAAATTGTAGTTTTTGTATTACTACCCCAAGCTTCCATAAGTGGGTCAAAAATGACCCGCATGCATTTTCTATGGAATTTTTTTTTCAAAATGTATTTTTTTTTTATAAATAGTGAAAAATTAAATATAAAATATTTCTAGTGTGATCGTAATATTATACAAGTGATTTTTCTTAACCCAAATGACAAAAATGGCATAAAAACACATATTATTCTAATACGGGTCCTTTTTGACCCACTTATGGAAGAGTGTAGGGTCCAGTCACTCGTGCATCTAAGGGTTAAATTAATGTTTATTTTCTTCTACAAAACAGCCCAGATATTAATACTCAGGGACAGTAATCCTACTCAACAAGTCTTTCGTTTTGTCCAAGGTTACAGTGTGAGTGTTTCTGATAAACTAAAAGGCAGCTATGTAAACACTAACAAGCTTAATAATGTTATTTATGAATCATGAGCCAAAGGATTGAAATTGATTCTGGAGATACAGAAGGGTTCACGCCCCTAAGCTAAGCAACTGCTCGCTGTAGCTCTTTATTAACCATACAGATCTCAGAGTAGTATGGATCTCCTCATATAACAACAGAATATTAACCCAAAATGTCAAACTATTTCTCCAGCAAAATACCCATTTTGTATAAAAAGAATTGAACAATGTCTTTGTATACTTTTTTGCTACCATCAAAGTGGTCTAAAGATAGGCAATGTGTTTGTGTGTCTCCCTCAGTTTAAGTGCTGTGGCAGCAACAGTTCGTCTGACTGGGCTGAGAGCGTGTGGATCCGCTCCAGAGAGGCGGAGGGCCGCGTGGTGCCTGACAGCTGCTGCAAGAGTCTCACCACGCTCTGTGGCCGCAGGGACCACCCGTCCAACATCTACAAGGTGGAGGTGAGAGCAGGATGGGGGCTTTACACAGCGGGGGGGATCAGTATTTCTGTCATGTCTCAGCATGTCAGCACTGAGATGGGTGGTGTGATGGCAGTGATGGAGGAAGTATTCAGATCCTACACTTAAATAAGAGTGCTAATACCACACTGTAGAAATACTCCATAGGAGTCATGTTACATTTGTACAAATATGCAATTTTAGCCAGGAAAATGTATTTAAAGTATAAATACTTAATGCAGAAAAGTGCCCTCTGTATATGTGCATAATATACTATTATATAATAAATCATAACAAATAAAATATTTTCCACTGAAAAATATCATAAATGGACAAAATAGTTGACAATTAATTTACCATCAGTTGACTAATTGATCAATTGACAAATTATTAACTAATGGTTGTGCTGTTGTTGGATAATTTAAATCATCACAAAATACATTTTTATAAACGTTTGACGTGTTTTTTTTAATGCAGAAATCTCCATTTAAAGCTGTCAGATACATGTAGTGGAGTACAATATCACCCTCTGGAGTAGTGCAGTAGAAGTATAGTATGCAAAAGTGCAGTAGTTCCTCAATGTGTACAGTAGTATGTGTAGGTACTTGTACCTAGCAACATTTCAACATTGTATTAGAACAGCAGAGTTAGAAGAAATGTAATATCTGAGCAGTATACACAAAATTTGTTTGCAGTGAGACTCCCACATCAACATGACGACTCTTTGTTTTCATTAAGGGGGGGTGCATCTCCAAACTGGAGAAATTCATCCTGGACCATCTGAAGATCATCGGAGCGGTGGGTGTTGGGATAGCCTGCGTACAGGTGAGAAATAAAGTCAACTCTTTTTACAGTTTGCTCAACATACATAAAGATTCAATAAACGTATATCCATGGTGAATTTGCTAAATTGTGTTTTTCTTCTCTGCCGTCCAACCCCCAGGTCATAGGGATGGTGTTCACATGCTGCCTATATCGAAGTCTAAAGTCAGAGCCGTACTAAAGAGAGAAGCAGAAGAAGAAACGTGTGGGAGAGGGAGGTACTCCAACAACACATCCCATACTCAAATAGCCCATAGGTTCTTTTCTTTCCCTTGCACATAGGGGAAGGAACATTTTGGCGAGGGATCAAATTGCACAGCTGAGGAACTCATTTTAGTAAACAAAGGGTGGAAAAACACTACAAGGTTTTTGAAGTAATTAGGCATTCCATTTGCAGCCTCAGCTACGTCTTCAAGATCACAGCGAAACCCTCAGAGAGAAACTGATGGGATTTCTAACAGAGATAAATGAGTGTGGGACAGCCTCCTAGGGACGGAAACTTTGTAGTTTTCTTCCACTCCGATTCCCTGCATGTACAATTGTTTGTGGACCAGGTGCTACACCCCAGAGTTGTGTTAGGATCAGTGGAGTAAAACTGGCACTCTGCAGGAAACGTAAACCCTGGTCCCAGCAGTGAGTCCCGCCTTCTGGAGCCCCCTAAACTGCAACAGCATTTGGATTCCTCTTTAACTAGCCAGTCATGCATTTCAAATATCTGTTCATTAGTGGCTTTTAAACTTTTACACTGTTCGGTTCTATATTTTGTAAATGGTTGTTTTACACTTTAGAGGTGCTTTCTTGTGAGCTATAATTGTTACCTATGTGTCTTCATATTGTCCTATCATGTTTGATCATATCATTTCTGCCACCTTAATGACCTGCTTTAACTCTGTGAGACAACTCAAGTTGATCTTAATAAAGTCATTATGATAATGTTACATACAAGCAGTGCCACTCATATTGCTCATAAGGAAGTGCCTCATGTTTGCGCCTTTTTTATACAAGGGATTTATCCACTGATGCCAAAGTTCTCAACTTTGTGTAAGGACCTACTGTCCCTCTTTCAGCCTTATTCACATTTCTATTGATGTCTCTCTTTTTAGATAGTTTTTATAAATTAACATTTGTTCACTTTCCTATAGACCATGAATATATGATTGTATTTAAAGGACACATGATAGTCACTCACTGTTTCCCATGTGCCTCAAAGACGACACTAAATTAATCTGCTGTATTTCTGTCTTTGTGATAATCCTGGTTGTATTTTAGTTTGAATAAACATTGATTAACAATAACATTTTGCTTCTGTGGTGCTTTCTCAGCAAAAGTCAGGTGAGATTTTGCAACATGAACGGTGTAACATACAGCATCTCCATTTTTCATTCATTGAGACAACTGATATTATTTTCAATATCGTAACTGCCCAAACGTCCTTCACCTCACCTTGTCAGGGCAATTAATCCCTAAAACTATACAATTATTGTGTAAAGACAACCCCCCCGTGTCTGTAACCAGTGGCCCTTACAGTATTGGCATCAGCTTACAGGTGCATTAGTGTATTAACCCAAAGTAATTTCCCTAATGTTGCTGTACTGTGGAGGTTTACAGTAGGATGTGAGCCATATTCTCCACGGCTACTACTGGAGTGTATTACCTATAGCATGACAGCTATACAGTCTGTAATGGGAGTTATTCTGCTGTTCAGTGCAAGCCCACCTCATTTGACCCCTTGTATTTGTTTGGGGTCCATCATTACTGTGAGCCACAGCAGTTACAGCGTGCAAACACAGGGGGGCAGCACCCGCCAGGCTTCCAGCGCCACAACACCACACTGATGAAAACAGCTGGTAAGAGTGTGAGCAATAACACCCAGAGGCTATTGAGGATTACCCCCTCCCTAAACACACTCTTCTCATTCAAAACGACAGAAAAGCTTTAATGTGGTCGCCCAAAGTGTCAGGAGGGGGAGGGGGGAGGGGGGAATGGGGATTTTTAAGGATGGTCACAATAACAAAGGTCACTTAGACATTGAACTTCATCTGCTTGTAATCTGTGAAAAACATTGAATGCATTCATCCTAAAATATGGTAAGAAAATCAAATGGCATGATCCTATATTGGTTTCTATTTCTCTGTGAGTGAATATGTCAGAGTAAAAAACATTTCCCCTCTGTGTAACAGGCGCACAATATAAAATGAAACAACAGAAATCTGTGTGTATTGTCATAATACCCCTTGGAAGTGCTCTCTCAGCACACCTTGTGAAAGCTGAGTCATCCCTCAAAACGAGAGAGTCGTGTTTTAATTTATTTTTCCCTCACAAGGGGGGTGGGGGGTTCCGTAGTTAATGTTTCCATTGGAGTGAAAGTAGTTCAGCACATGGCAATTTTAAGAGGTTAACAGGGCATTTTTCCATGTAGCAGACATCTGCGGAATGCTAGTCCTGCTCTTGACACAGTCGTCGCCTTCGGTTAGGTAGTTGCTTGAATTTGACTTTTAATAGATGACAGAAATTATGACGAGCCTTTGATCCACCAATGAGTCCCGACCAATCGTGCCCCACTGATGAAAGCCATAATAAATCCCCCTGACCCCTGCAGGGCGTGCGGGCCTGCCTGCCGCTCTTGCTGTTGTAGGATGACATTTTCAAAATATCTCCCACAATGCTCGGTTGTCTATCCAGTGCACCTCGTCCTGCTGGCCCATCCAGCAGAGAGCTATGTAATTTTCACTCCAGGAGGGGGTTCGTACAGCCTTCCAGCTTTTTATTTTCCTGACAGGTGATTTCTGCGCCTACAAATAGGGGGCTGTGCTTCATCTGCAGCTGGTAACCCTTGCAGGAACATGCAGAGTCCCCCAAAGGCAGGGGACATGAGTCTTATTTTAGATATAGTTTGCATAATTTTCCTTAGTTTAAGCAGGACACGTCAGCTGCTGAGGTTAAGAATTTGTTGTTTCTGATTTGGTTTCACAGCAGTCACATTTATCATGAGCTATAACGGTTCCTGTCGTCAATGGGATCGGGTAGAGGTTAAGGTTAGGTAAGTATAGTTATGGTTTAGTTTAGGGTTACCTATGGAAACGACTGTACACTCCGAAGTTAAACACCACAAGTGATTCCCAACCTGTGGGTCAGGACCACTTAAAGAGTCCTGATGATGAGTAGGATTGGAAAAATATGCATATTTATTTATTTATTTGTTCCAATTTGTTGCCATTTCTGTGGTTTATTTGACTTCCTCAAGTACATAAACAATTAAATAATTCTGTATGTATTTGATAACTGTCCGGAGGTATGCCAAACTTTCACATGGGTCCAAAAATAGAGATTGCATTGTGTGAAGAGGTCACATGCCAAAAAGGTTACAGAGCGACTGTATGCCAACGTGTGTGTACATTACATAAAAAGACAAAGGGATGTCAGGAAAGCGCCACAGGTTATTCTGGAGGCAGAAATTAGCTGTGACTTTCAGACAGTTTACCCTGGGAATGGGTGTGAATAACGGAAGTGAAAAATATCTTGCTTTCATGTATAGCTGTATGAATGCTCTGCATCAAAACCTCTGTTGCAGGCTCACACATCTCAGGTCATTTTCATTCAAGGCCTTGGCTGTTTAAATTGTGTGTGTGTTTGTGT